GTGACCCGCAGAGAGATGTGCTAACTTAATTTGGAGATACTGTCACTCACACTCTGTAATGTGCTGTACCTGGGGCTGCCTTTGGAAAGCGTCCAAACACTTCAGTGGGTCCAAAATGCAGCAGCTAAACTGCTGACGGGGCCTGGTTACAGGGAATCACATAACCTCACTGTTACAGCAGCTCCACTAGCTGCCAATCCATTTCCAGGCACCATTCACTATTGTTGTTGTTTAGTCCTTAAGTTGTGTCCGAGTCTTCGTGACCCCATGGACCAGAGCACGCCAGGCCCTCCTGTCTTCCACTGCCTCCTGGAGTTGGGTCAAAGTCATGCTGGTCGCTTCGATGACCCTGTCCATCCATCTCGTCCTCTGCCATCCCCTTCTCCTCTTTCCTTCACATTTTCCTAACATTAAGGTCTTTTCCTGGGAGTCTTCTCTTCTCAAGAGATGGCCAAAGTATTGGAGCCTCAGCTTCAGGATCTGTCCTTCCAATGAGCACTCAGGGTTGATTTCCTTCAGAATTAATAGGTTTGTTCTCTTTGCAGTCTAGGGGACTCTCAAGAGTCTCCTTCAGCCCCACAACTGAAAAGCATTGACCATTCCCCTACAAAGCCCTAAATGTCTTGGGTCGCAGCTTTTGCTTGACTCCAGCGCCACTTGGGGCGCTCCTGGAGGACGGCGCCCTTACCTAGGTATGCGAATCCCAGCGGCGGTGGGCTTCGGGAGGGGGAAAGAGTTGCTTTAATCCGCTGCGTCCTCGCCATTCCTGTGTGTCCATCCAGCTGGCGCCTTCCTCCTCCTTCATACCTGAGAGGAAGGGGTGGTGTACGTGCGTGGGTGTCGAGGGGGGGGCCCGAAGTGCTCCTGGCTGCCTCCAAATTCCGCGGTTTGTTTAAAGCAGGGAGCCCAGGAGGGGGGAAAGGAAGAGGAGGAGGAATTATTTTTTTTTTTCCCCCTGCGGATTTAAGAGACGGGTGTATTCTCGAAGGCTTTCACGGCCGGGATCTGATGCTCGAAAAACCCGCAACAACCCTTAATAGTCGGATTTGGCGCGGCGCGGTGCAGAGAGAAGAGAGTTAATGGAAAGTTTCCCCCCCCCCACTTCCATTGTCTGGAGCAATCCTGGAATTCGCGGCGTGCCGCTGGGGGCAAGGTGTACGGGTTGCATTTCCTTTTTCCCGCCCCCTTGGAGAAGGCTGGAGGTTTCGAAAACTTCCCAAGAGGGGAACGGGCCGGTCCTCTAGCTGCCTTTTAGGAGAGATCCTGCACAGTTTTCTCCCCTCTGGGTATAGATCCCGGTTTGGGGGGAGAAATCCCGCGTTTTCCTTGGAGAGCTCTTGCTTTTGTAAAGATCCTGCATTCTTTCCTCTCCGCCCCCCCCCAAGAGGTGTTGCCTTTGCGAGTGATTTGGGGAGAGGGGGAAAAAAAACTCCCTGCGGTCTCCTCGCGTGGAAGCCGCGGCCCGATTCCTCCACAAGTCGCCCGCGTCGCTGCGAAGAGGGTGCGTTTGGTTCCCGGGTTCTTTGGGGACGAGCCTGACCTCTCCGTGGGGTGTTGAGACTTGGAGAGGAGGGGGGAAAGTGGAGATAGGGGAAGCTCTCGGGGGGCTTTGTTTGCCCTGAGCTCCCGGAGGGAGGCTTGCTTTCTCGGCTCCCCCCCCCCTCCTCAAGGCAGGAGAGGGCGGATCCCTTGCGCGCAACCAGAGGAGAAAAGGGTCCGAAAAGGGTGCCAAAACTGGACCGAGGCGGGCGCAGAAGCCGGCTCAGGTGGCGGCCGCGGAGGCTCGGCGAAGCGATGGGTCGGCGGAGCGGCTTTTCCGGAGAGCAGGATTGGAGAGATTAGAGCGAGAAAGAGATTTTTAGAGAGAGGAAGCGTGTGAAGGACTCGAGAGGCGGCGATGGAGCTCCGTGCGCTCTCCCTGTGCGCTTTTGTGCTCGCCTCCGCCGGGGATGCTTCGGGGAGCCGGCTGCTCCCCGGCATGTGAGTAGGAGACGACGCGTAACCGCCAGCTTTTCCTTTGGGATCGGGGCCCTGCCCTCCGGATCTAGGCCAGAGGCTCACAGCTTGGCCCAAGAGAGAGAGAGAGAAAGAGTGGCCAGGACTGGCTGAGAACGCTGGTCTCTCCACAGGGGAGGTTCTGGGTTCTAATCCCGCAGCCGGCGGGGGGGGGGCGGGCGGATGAAGTTTTCCAAAGTGGTTTTAGGTAAACCGTTTTAGGGTATCCTCAGCGGTATAATGGTGGTAGAAAGGCCCTCCTACCTGGCCAGCGTGTTGTAAGAATTCCTGATTTGCATCGGGCGCATTCCGATCACTCCAAACTTGTCTGTGCTGTCTGGGGGGGGGGCGATGGGAGTTGTGGTTCAGAAGTAGGGGTATGTCAGAGGACGATAGGGGTTGTAATTCAGAAGTATGGGGAGAAGGGCAACTTTGTGTCTTCCACATTTCCGGACCATATTGCAGAAATCCCTGGGATTATAGAGCATCGGAAGGGGTGCTCTAAGGGGCGGTGCCACCTGGGGATTATGGTAGTTGTAGTATAGCTCTGTGTGTGTGTGTGGGGGGGGGAAATGAGGGCCCCGCACTCCCTGACGAGGTGGTTGTGAAAAAGTGAAGCCTGCCTTGTATCTGTGGAGAACTTGAATCCTGATAGCCATAATGTTGGGGGACTATGGGAATTGTAGTTGAATAACCAGAGGAGATCTGTTTGGGCAAGGATGCCAGACATGGCCACAGGAAACAGCAGGCCTGTGTACCTTTATTAGTTACGTGGTAAAGGTTTGACCTGGGTAAAAAAACCCTACTTGTTTATGTGATCGTCCTACAGTGCTCCCTGAAATGCTGAGCATGAGGGTATTGCTGGATAGCTCAGTGGTTTAGGCATCTGCCTGCAAAGCCAGAGGTTGGGAGTTTGAATCCCTCCTGGGCCTTTTGGAGAGAGGCTGGATTCCATCATCCACATAGTCCTTTCCAGCTCTGCCCTTCTAAGATGATTATTCTAAGGCTGGCCAGGTGCCTTCACCCTACCTGAACTCTTCCTCGTTGTGCAGCAAGTCAAGATCTATCTGAAGTTTTCCTCTGTCTATGGGTGTGAGGGGATGCTTCACCTGTTGAATTTCTGCCTGGCCCATAGCTTTCAGATTAGGTATTAAAGGATCACCTGAAATGGCAGGTTCTTGATCTGATAAGATTGCCTTTTCTTTTTAAAGGATCTGATGCCAAAATCCTTGTGTTTTTTCCTTCTTGTGAATCTTATTAGGGTAAGGTCTCCATTAACCCACACACATCAGTTATTGATCTTTTTTTAATGGGCCCCGAAGTAGCCTTTCGACTGATTATGATCTTATGGCGATGAGATTACAACCTGCAACACACTTATTTGAAGACAAACCTCTTACGTGCAAGGGAACCTGCATTATTGATGGCTTTATATTATACGGAGGCTTTAGCCGTCGAGTGACTTGTTAATGAAGTCATTTCATCAATCAATTAAACAAAATATACATCATGCTTAAAAATAATTACCCAAAGCTGATCGGTTGATTAATAATGGAGGTTGGAGGTGTTTATTTTTCTTGCCCTGATCAGCTGAAACTTAATTCTGTGTTTCACTGACTTTTCCCCAAAGAACACCCCCAAAGCTGAAATTTTATAGGGATACTGAGAAAGGGAACAGAAATCTTCAGTTACTTTTCTTGCAAAAATATTTGGCATTTCCCCCCTCTCAGACCAAGATTATGAGGATTTTGATGCTCTTTTCACATCCCCCCCCCGGGCATCCCCTCTATTGCATTCTGGAAGTGGTTTTCTTTTTAAAAAAATCTTTTATTTTGCATGAAACACTTGCATCCATGCAAAATCTGTGATGCTCTTTTCACATCCCCCCCCCCAGGCATCCCCTCTATTGAATTCTGGAAGTGTTTTTTTTTTAAATAAATCTTTTATTTTGCATAAAACACTTGCATCCATGCAAAATCCTTGTGCGTTTGTGCTGTTTTGGTACTTAACTTTGCTGCAAATACTTTACCAGCACGAGCTTAGAAACATTTGGGGCAGTTAGTTGTGTTCCTAACCCACATACCTCCATGGCAAAGATGAATTGAGGGTTTTCTGTGAGTTGTAACTAAAAAAAATTAGAGAGGTGAATCTTCCTCATTTGCGTTTAATGTCTGCCTGCAGGTTTTCTGTGCAGAATGGAATTTCTGGAGGTGTGGAGAAATGGATTTAAATTTTGAAAAATCAAGCCCTTTAACCTGAATGGATTTTTTTAAAATTAAAAAAAACACAAACAACCTCAGCATCTTCTCTTTGTGAGTGTATGAAATAATTTAAGCATAAGGTCACTAGTTTTTTTTTAAAATTCATCCTGGATAGGCTTCTGTGCCTTAGACACCTGCCTGCCAAACCACAGAACATTAAATGGGAACACTTCGTTTTGGGAATTTTTCCCACTCTCTCTCCTATGGGAAAAGGTTTTTTTTCAGCTGAATATCTGTTTTTTTTTTAAAAAGAAATTGCAGTGTGATCATGGACATAATAAGCTCTGGGTTTTTGTTGTTGTTGTTGTTTTTTGGCATCTGGGGCAGCCTTCTCCAATCCAGCATCCTTCTAATGTGTTAAACGACAACACCCAGCTCACTAAAGATTATCATCATTTTAGAACTTCAGAGCTGGAAGGGGACCCTCAAGATCATCCAGTCCAGCCTCTGTTGAGGAGGCCCAGTGGGGGGATTTGAACTCCCAGCCTTTGGCCTCGCAGCCAGCGGAAGCCGACCGAGGCGGAGAAGTTTGGTCCTGCTCCCCTTTGAGTTCTGTGGGCAAGAGAACCGATCCAGCAATGGACCGTTTCGGCTTGTTGCCCGAGTTAAGCTTTCTAGACCTGTTTTCTGCTAATGTTGCTCCCTTGACTGTTAATAAACCTGAAGTTGTTAAAGTTAAAAAGACGACTCCTCTCCTCCTTCCCGCCTTAGACGAGGAACTGCCTCCCTTAGAGAGTGGACCCATTCACAGGGACCCTCCGGATCATCCAGTCCAGCCCCTGTCAAGGAGGCCCAGTGGGGGATTCGAATTCCCAACCTCTGGCCCCACAGCCAGAGACTTAAACCACTGAGCTCTCCAGCCGTTCTGACAACAATACACGTGCAGGGCTGTTCCTTCAGACTTCTCAATTGTGTTATTTCTCCGAAGCTCAAGCTGTTTTAAGGTCTGTTCTGCTTGCCTTCTGTTTTTTGTCTCACCTCTCCTGGCTGATGGAAAAACATATGGCCTCGTATTGCAAGGCATCGCTTGGGTTTCGTGTTTCGTGAGCCTCTTTGGACAGTTTTCTCCCTTACAAGTTTGAGATTCGGCCAAGAGAGCCATTCTCGACTCAGCAAAATCTCTCTCCGTTCTCCTTTGTAAATTGAACTGGTCCTGAACAATAGAATGCAGTAAATCCGTACCGTCTTTTTCCATATGTTGTTCCCGCTGCTACTTGCTACGAACATTCGCTCTGTGGTAAGGTTCATCTGTGTGCTTTTTAGAAGACCCCCAAGGGAAGACAAAAGGTGGTTTTCTGGGTCCTCTGTTTTACTCTTCTTCCTTCCTGAAAACTCATCAGTTTTCAAAACCTAACATTTCAACCCAAGTCCAACCTAGGCTTGCTCACAAATAATATATTTCTGGAAATATTATGGCTGGATACACTAGCTTGAATTACAGCCCAGTTCAAAGCCATGAGGCATGGATTTGAATGTCTTTATTCACATATTTTGTCTCTGTGTGTTTTTTGTTTGTTTTTTTGGATGGGTGGAATTAAAACTCTATAGATGCTCCTTGAGCCAGACAGAAAGCAGAGGGGGATGTTTCTGGGTGAATTTTTGTGAATCTAGTTTCGTATATAAATGACAAGAAAATGATAGCACCTGCTTTCCCCAGCCACCTTTGACGTGAATGACGTTGTCAGGATCCAGTCCTGTGTACGTGTTTCTAGCTGGCTGATTTTAGGAATATTATGTGACCTAAAGTTAGAACTTTGTAGGTGACCCCCTTAACAGGGCTTTCAAGAGAAGTGAGATATTTGATGGTTTTAATAGTTCTATCCTCCGTTGAGTTTTCATGGCTGAGTGGGGATTTGAACTCGGGTTCTCCTGAGCCCTGATCCATCGCTCTTTCCACGACACTGCCCTGGGAAAGGTTTTAGGAGGACTGCTCCTGAAACCCTTACCCAGGTGCGGTAGGGGAAAGAGATCTTCTCTGGAGGACTAAAGGAAAAGGGAGCCTGACCTTCCCCTTGGAAGGAAATTCTGCAGCCTAGAGTGCCGGACGAGGGTCTGAGAAACCTGGGTTCGAATCCCATCTCGGCGATGGAAACTCACAGGAGGGGTGACGCCGGTGAATGTCCTTGAATGCCTCGCACACTTCATAAACCCAGAGCCAGAAAGGGTGCCGGATCTGGGCCCTTCTGTTCAGAGCAACCTCTTTGAGTTGAACGGACCTCCATGCACACAACTGTTATTTGGAAAGCGGTGCTGTGTAGTGGTTAGCGTCTTGTTCTAGTGCGTGATCTGGGATAGCGTGCCCGCCATTTGTCCTCATAAAGTGGACCCAGGTGGCCGAGAGCACACATATATGGTTTATTTTGAGTGCCTGTTCATGTCTTTTTATCTCGCGGCCGATTCTCCCTCTTGCTAGCTCCGTACATCGCAGAGCGAACAGAACGCTTTTGATGGTCCTGTGCACGTCCTGCCTCCCTGTTCTTTCCCCTCCCGGCTTCCCAAAAGACAATAGGATTTCCCTGTCCAGATCGTTATAGCTTGCAATCAAAAGAAAATCAGCCAGACAAATAAACAAGATTTTCTATTTCTGGGTGTGCAGAGAGATCCCGGAGAGCGGGAACGGGCCGTCAGACGTGACTTGCCGGCAATGTGGAGCAAAGCCAGACCCCGGGAGACGTCCTCAGCCTGAGTCGCTGAGATGCCGATGGTGCGGTATAGTGGTTAAAGGCTCCAGAGACCCAAGACTGCCACTCTGTCCACGTCACCCACACTGAGGATCTCAAGTTGGAGTCTAAAGACAATGCCAGTTTTATCACACTCCACTCCAGAGGGTGTCAGTTTAAGGAAGTGGGAATAATTCCCTAAAATGTGGTCTGGTTCTCTGATTTTCCTTCCGGAGCCCTTGAGTGAATGTAGAGTGGAGTACTACGCCCCTCAGCAAATGATATTGGAATATTTCCCCACCTCCGGGAGATGGATTTGGAAATAAAATAAAAGCAAGAATGTAAACACACAAAGCAAAGTGCTGTTGTTGTTTTAACAAGGCAGGGGTGCTCTGTGAGCTGCTTGTAAATTTGCCATCCCATCACTGGCGTCTGTGGATGTTTTTTTTCTCCACTCCTGTACGTAATCTTGATCAATCATCTTAGAGCTGCAGAGGTAGAAGGGACTCTATGGGGTCATCCAGTCCAGCCCCTCTCTAGGAGACCCAGTGGGGGGGGGAATCGAATTCCCAACCTCCGGCTCCACAGCCAGAGGTCCGAACCACTGAGGTGTCTTAGCATGTCCGAATGTAACCCTTGTACAGCAATGCTAGCAAACCTTTAGCATTCAAGATCTTCTGGACTACAACCCTCGGCATCCCCAACATGGGTGTCCAATGATAAAGGATGATGGGATTTGTAATCCAAAAAAATTCAAGGGTTAAAGGTTTGCCACCCCTGTGCTAGAGCATCACATAAGTAATTTTTTTTAAAAAAGCCATCAGATTGAAATGACGCAATTACTAATGTTGCCTTTCCAACAGTAAGAAGGGGACAAAAAAAATCAAAGGAATGGAAACAATTTAATCACCTGGTCGAATGATATCTAAAGGGCTCGGGGCAAAAGAGGGATGTTTTGAATGCAGAAGAAAGCTAATTTGGCCCAGATTATGTTTCAGTTGAGAGCAAATACATACCCAGAAGTATTTGAAGGCAGAGCAACTTAACTGCAAATGCTCACATTACAGTACTGAGATTTTATAGGTGCGGGAAAAAAAGATAAGGCACAGGAAATATTTACTTGGTTAATCTTGACACGATGGGGAGGCATAGACCTAAATAGCTGCTATTTATAGAAAATTGTCTTGGGTGAAAAACGTAGTAAGAAATTTTAGATTTTGGGGGACCGTACATGTACCTTTTGTGACTCTGTGAACGAGCAATCTCCAGCATGCTCTGTCCTCAACTCCCCTGCTCATCTCTTGCAAAACTCAATCCTGTAGCTTCATTTAGGGAGTCAATCCATCTTGTATTGGGGTCTTCCCCTTTTCCTGCTGCCTTCTACCTTTGCCAACATTATTGTCTCTCTCTCTCTCAGAGAATCCTGTTTTCTCAAAGGAGAACAGCCTCGGCTTCAACATTTTTGCCTCCAGAGATAGTTTAAGCTGGATTTGATCTCGGCCCATTGTTCGTCTTTCTGGCAGTCCAGGGTAGCTGCGAAGTCTTCCTCCAGCATCCCGTTGCAAATGAATCATTTCCTCCCCCCCCTCCAACAGCTTTCTTTCCTGTCTAGCTTTCACACCCGTACCTGGTGGCTGGAAATACAAGACTGTGGACAGTCTTGGTTGTGAAATATACTTATTCTTGTTAGCCTTTCAATAAGTCTTGTCATTGTTTACAATGTATTTTCCAAAGTGGAACTTTTTGGTGAGAAAAAACTTTATTTCTGTGTATTTGACTGTGCTAAAGGATGTGCTTTTTTAAAGAGAACTGCATGGAGAAATCCCAGCTTTGCCAAAATGGGATTTATTTTTTTCCTTACGGTTCAACAACCCAAGAAATGCATCTTCTTTCCCTCTGTTTCTCTCCCCCAGGCCCAACGTTTGTGCAGAACGAGAAGTTGCAGTGGTCGGCCAGTGGCTGCCACGTATCCAAGCCTTCACCCGTTTGGTTCAAGTGAGGAAGCCGGGCTGTGCAGGGCATCCGTGGTGCGTGGGCTACGAAAGGAGGTATGTGTCATTCATGGGATTCCGTTTGTTAATTGCTTGGTTGAGAAAGTCCCTCGGCTTTGCAGAAGCTGGAGTTACCTAGCTGTTACACTAAAGTAAGAGAGGCCAATGATTCAAATTCTGCATGGGGTTTTCATCCGAACTTTACCATTTACAAAATTCGGTTTTGCTCAGATTTTCCTTCAGTTTATAGATTTCAATTTTGCACAGGTTTTTGCCTCAACGTTACAATTTTAATCATACTGGGCTAGAGGGACTTGAACGCTGGCTGAAATCTGGTCATCTATTGCAACCAGAGTAAGCCCATTGAATCGGTGGGGACTGGGTGAGTCCACCCCTCAACCTACTACTGGATTTCAGCCATTACAAATGCCTTTGTAGGATGGGAGTCTAACACAACTGAAATAAATAAATAGCATAGAAAGAAGTTTTGGATGACAGAGACAGCTGAAGGACTCCTTCACAACCTATAATATTTACCAGTTACTTTGCTGGTGAGATCTGTCCCAGGGTAAGAGCAGGAAACTAACTGAAAACTCTGATTTTTTTCCCCCTTTCTCTCTCTCTCTTTTCCTTTTCAATCTCAATGTATCTGGCGGAGAAAAGCTTTTGAACCCGAGGGTTCTTGTCTGGCGCTGCAGGGCTTCAAAAGCACAAAGAATTGTTCATTCGTTAAGTCTCAATTTACTTTATGTCACGTCATTTAGACAACATAATCCTTCCCCCACCACCACCATCCATAACCTACACTTGTCCTTTTCCTGACTCAAAAAATACGTACATCTTTGTGGCAAAGAAGCCCCAAAGTTCTGTTTCATTGTCAAACCTAAGTAGAAAAATAGGCAGAACACGGGGAAAGTTCATCAGACTCCCAGATTTCGCCCCAGCCTAAGGGTTTAGTGAGTTGTAATTTATTACGATGGTGCCTCGCATAATGGGTGCCCCGTTTAACGAAGAATACGCATAGCGGCGATGTTTTTGTGATCGCTTTTGCGATCGCATAACGATGTTTCTTATGGGGGAAAATCGCTTTGCGATGATCGGTAAGCTGTTTTGCTTACCGATTTTTGCATAGCGATGATTTTTTCCCAGCTGATTGGTGGTTCCAAAATGGCCACGGGTAAAACAGGGGCGGATTCCTTGCTTACTGGGCAGCTAAAATGGCCACCGTATGGAGGATTTTCGCTTAAAAGGTAAGTTTTAAGCCCATAGGAATGCATTGGCTTCAATGCATTCCTATGGGCTTTTTAATTTCACGTAGCGACGATTTTTGCTGGATGGATTATCGTCGCTATGCGGGGCACCACTGTATTATTATTTTTTAAACAGAGATTTTCTAAGCTCAGGAAATTGAAGGAAAGGGATCATGAATTTCCCCCAAGGTGCCTCTTCTTTTGTGGAAGAAATGTCTCTTGCTGGCTATGGATGATGGGTTTTGTAGTCTAACATGTATGGAGAATACTGTGCTGAGAGGGGTTGTGCTAAACTCTGAAATGCATTGTGTGGACTATTCAAACCCACTTGGCTTGGAGGGAGAGCTTTTTTGTATGTACCACAGCTGAGACCCCTCATTCTCCATTCGCTTCAGAGGCACCCGAGACCATGATTTTGTCATGGGAGTTTTTGATTTCTTGAATGACAGGTCTCCTAATTGTTCGAGGTGCTCTACCTGGCTTGGGCACCTATTGCAGCCACCTTGGAGAAAAGGTCTAAACTGGAAGGTGTTGAAGCGGAACTAGGCCTAGCTCTTTGTTCGAGCTTCCTGTTCCTGCCCCAGTGGTAGCTCGGAACTTCCTTTCTGAACAGGAAGTTTGGGCAGAGCTAGGCCTAGCTAAGCCTTGAAACTTTTCTTCCAGGTGAGTCCCATTTAGTTGTTTGCCAGACACCAGCTCTGCGTTTGTATGCGTGTTGCACACATTAGATTGATTTAGGTGGTATTCTTTCCCTATAAAACTGTTCCTTTCCTGTGTACACACACACACATCACTTCACAATTGTTACTCAAGTGCTCACCTCCTGCAGCATCACAAAGGCCCGCTTTCCGATTTCAAGGTTTCGCCCAGATATCTCAGGGAATGAGAAGCAGCTGACCTGGTGACCCAGTTCCCTGGGGGCTCTTAACCTAGTTCCTCAAGTTTCAGAGCTGGCAGCTCATTCCCTCACCTTCCTTTCCCCCACTCACACAATAAAGGTTCAGTGAACATTTAATCATAGACATGTGTGGATGCTTGACATGGCAAAGACTAGAAAGGGGAAGAGCGGAGAAGAAAAACTGACCCCGGGAGTCAAAGCAACAGGAGACCCAAGTAGAGATGCTCTCGAAGGGGACTTTGAAGTTGTGAAGGTGGCTGGATCCAATTTTGAGTTCACTGTAAGTGACCTAAGTTTCTCCCTTTCCAGTTGTTGGTTAATTTGTAGGCTCTGATGGGTGAAATCTAACACATCCCCTGATGGTAGCTGTATCAACTCATTGCTCTTTCTGCTAACACCTTCCTCTGTCACACCCTGGAATAGCAGTAGAGACTATGCTATGTGTAGCATTTGCTAGAGAAATATATTTCCATAGTGTCATTCCCAGAACTGGCCAGTGGAGGGAGCGGGAGATTATGCTAAATATGGCGTTTGCTAGAGAAATATATTTCCATAGTGTCATTCCCAGAACTGGCCACTGGAGGGAGCCAGAGACTATGCTATGTATAGCATTTGCTAGAGAAATCTATTACCATAGTGTCATTCCCAGAACTGGCCACTGGAGGGAGCTGGAGATTATGCTAAATACAGTGTTTGCTAGAGAAATATATTTCCCTGGTGTCATTCCCAGAACTGGCCACTGGAGGGAGCCAGAGACTATGCTATGTATAGCATTTGCTAGAGAAATATATTTCCATAGTGTCATTTCCAGAATTGGCCACTGGAGGGAGCCGGAGATTATGCTAAATATGACGTTTGCTAGAGAAATATATTTCCCTGGTGTCATTCCCAGAATGGGCCACTGGAGGGAGCCAGAGACCATTCCTTTCTGTGGGGAGGGATCCCTGGGACTGTGCAGCTTGCCCAAGGCTACCCAGGCTGGCTTTTCTCCCAAGGAGGCCCAGAGGGGGAATAGAACTCCCAACCTCTGGCTCTGCCAGCCGGAGACTGAAACCACTGAGCAATGATATGGGGGTCTTACTGTACACAGAGGAGGATTCCCATTCCTTTCTGTGGGGAGGGATCCCTGGGACTGTGCAGCTTGCCCAAGGCTACCCAGGCTGGCTTTTCTCCCAAGGAGGCTCAGTGGGGGAATCGAACTCCCAACCTCTGGCTCTGCCAGCCAGAGACTGAAACCACTGAGCAATCCAGCCATCACCCCAGAAGAAAGGAATGCTAAAAATAAATCCCTCTGTAAAGTGTGGGTAATTAGAGATGGAAAAGTCATTTTTAAAAAGGGCAGCAAACTAAGCAAGACAAGACTCGCACTGTGGATCTTAGGGAAGAGAGACTGTCAGAATGAAAACTAACTCCCTCTGGTTAAGCCATGTCTGTATATATTATGTCAGTGGGCCCAAATGAAGTTCATCTTGCTTAAGCTGTATTGCCCCTGAAAAAATTCTGGAACAAATAATGGATCGGAATTAAGTATATGAGAAAAAGTTAGCAAGAAGTTTAGGAAGTACATTTTTGGGGGGGCGGTGGTGAGGGGCCAGTGAGCATGTATAAATGTGCATGTGCAAGGTATATGAGTGCTGTACATGCACATGGAAGTCAAACTCCTTGACCGTTTGCTTCCCGGACTCTGGAAAAGAGAATATCTTCTCCTGCCAAGCTCATCATAATTTGGAAACTGCGCGAGACGGCAAAGTTGTTCCATCTGCCTGTTTCCCCTCTGGGCACAGTGGAAGAGGCTGATTTTGTCCAGAATAGCTTTCAAGGCTTAGTATGGAAGGAATGTTGAATGGTTTCCTCTTTAAAACTTTTTTTAAAATGTGCATGGCCTAATGACACCAATATTTTCCTTATTTTGTGATGTTTTACAGCAGGACTGTGTATTGGAAAGCCTGTTGGTTCTTTGATATTGCGTTACCTAGTAGTTTTGGGCGTCATCCTTCTCATGCGGACATGCTTCTGAAGCACCTCCCCATTTCTGTTGTTGAGTTACGCTGGAGAGATGAGTAGCACGGATAAAATCGCAACTAGAGTAGATCCATCAAAATCAATGGGATTCTCTTCCCTAGACAGACATTCATACGGTGGTGGGAAGGAATGAAGCGGAAAAGTAGTGGAAATAAGGAAATACAGGATTCTTGTCTTGTACAGTGGTGCCTCGCTTAACGACGATAATCAGTTCCAGGAAAATTGCCGTTAAGCGAAAACATTGTAAAGCGAAATTAAAAACCCCATTGAAATGCATTGAAACCCGTTCAATGTGTTCCAATGGGATAAAAACTCACAGTCCAGAGAAGATCCTCCATACGGCGGCCATTTGTGTTGCCTGTATAGCGAGGAATCCATCCCTAAGCACAACGGGGAGCCATTTTAAGCACCCGGTGGCCATTTTGAAAACCTGACGATCAGCTGTTTTTGATCGTCATAAAGCAAAAATCGGTTCCCGCAGCAGGGAACCGATCATTGCTAAGTGAAATTCCCCCATTTAGACCATCGTTTTGTGATCGCAAAAAGATCGTCGTAAAGCAGATTTGTTGTAATGCGGGGCAATCGTTAAGCGAGGCACCACTGTATCTTCTGCCCCGCTTTACAGAAGCCACGCTCCATGCATCTGATTACTCAATGGGTCTACTCTATAGTGTCCCATTTACTTCAGCGGATCTACTCTATAGCATTGGACCTCGGCTTATGAACTCCTTCAAAGGATGTACCTGAGTCCTTTTACTCATCATGTTGACATCATTTTCTGTTTTTGTGTGGTTTTTTGGTGACTGGCTGGTCAATGGTTGCAATAAACACAGTGAACGCAAGTAAATCTCTCACTACCGCTTCCTTGATGTGGGAGGTGTTTGGAGATGACATAATGGGGTATTTATGGTGTACAGGACATCTGCTGAATGGCTTCGCAGATCTTGCTCCCTTTAAAGCCAACGGCATGCCGTTAACTGCAGCAGATGCAAAACACAGTGTTTGAAGGGGAGGGGGGCGTCCGTGTGCGATCTGGAGGGTGTGTTTTGCTGCCTAACATCAAAGCGATGGGTTTCCCAGACGCATCTGACACAGTGAGGTTTCCTCCAGCCATTAACTCTTCAGCTCAAGTGGACAAAAACACAATGGCTTTTCCGCAATTCTGATTTTTCTGCTTGTCTGGCAAAAGCCAAGCGATTGCATTTATTAGGCAGGAAAGAAAAAAGGATGTCTTTTAATCACCTTGGTGTTCTCGTGTGCCGTCAAGTAGTCTCCAGCTTTGGGTGACTCTATGAATGAACCATCTCCAAACCGTCTAGTCCTCAATTGCCCTTCGCAGCTCTGGGGCTCCTTTTAGAGTGTCAGTCCATCTCGTATTGGGTCTTCCTCTTTTCCTGCTGCCTCTCCCAGCATCATTGTACACAGTAATTAGGAATACAAGGGGTGGGGATGACCTTGTCTTGTTCTCCAGTGACACATCCTTACACTCCTTTTATTATCTGCCAGTGCTAAAATTCATTCCTAATTTTTCTACACGGCCTGCAAATGAGTAATGAATGCCTGAAGAAGGGATTTTTAATTCACAAAAGCTTGCATTTATTTATTTTTTTTGATTGCTTGACTGGTAACAGTCCACAGAGAGGGGAAAAGGACTGAGCAGAGAGGCGGGGCTCTCCTTGATTCCAGAGGCAGGAAGGCACTATTGGTCAGTACTGTGAGTGATTGACAGTCACCCCGAACCAGAAATGTTCCCTCCCAGTCAAACCTCCTAAAAGTGGTATGCAAGGTTGCAAAAATCTCCATCAGTTGGTGGTCAAGAAATCCAGAAGACTAAAAAAAAAAATACCAAGTGTATTCAGTGGGTAGAGAATGCTGATTTTCTGGGAAAAGGAGAAATTGAGTGTTCACGAAGATGGGATGGCTTATTGGAACCCTGATCAGGAGCAGTCCTAAATTCCCACAGTTTGGAAACAGATTTTGGATTACAAATCCCAGAATCCCCCATTTCTGGCTATGGTGGCCAGGATTTTGGGCTTTAGATTTAATGTTATGATGCTCAGACTTCGGTTGCTTGTTGCTTATGCTCCGCATCTCTGTGTGTGCTTTCTCTTTTCCAGAGTCATGTATTTTGTGGACAACCGACAGGTTTACGGCATGCAGTACCAAACAGTGTACCGTTGCTGTCCCGGGTGGTCTCAACTTGGCGAGGGCTCAGGCTGCATTTACCGTAAGTCGACCCTTGTTTTCCTGCTTCCTTGAAGCACTTCGTTAATTACATATGCTGAAATTCTGCATGTCTTGTTAGATATTCCCACTGCCCTTCCCAGAACTCCAAAACCACCGTGGCTTTTGGGAATTTGGGGATGAGCAATCCAAAAAACCCCAAAAATACTCTCAGTATTTAATGTTTGTTCCATTTCAATTATCTTCAAGATTTAGACCAAGGTGGGTCATTAAGTTCGGTCCTATATGGATGGATCCTGGATCCTCGATATGATGCATCTCACTCTTTCAGTCCTGGAAGTCCACTTTCATTTTTATTTTTATTTTTGTAAATCAAAACATGGTGTTAAACTTACATGCACCTGTCTTGTTTTGAAAGGAAATTCTGGAGGGTTTTGATAGTGTGACTCTCCTTGCTTTATGGGTAGAAAGTTTTGGTGGTGTCGATGTGGGACCTCAAGTTGGGAGAGTGTGTCGCACAATGGGATGGTATACAAGTTGAAATAATAAACAAATAAAAGTGGGTAAGCCCGAGAAATGGCCATAGGATCATCATCATAGAACGGCAGAGCTACAAGGGACCCTGTAGATCATCAAGTCCAGCTTTTGTCAAGAAGGCACACTGGGAAATCGAACTCTCAACCTACACTTAACCACTGAGCTATCCAGCCGTTCTGTGGCTATGGATTTATTTATTTTTTTGGTGGTAGTGTTTCTATGGATTTTCAGTAAGTCAGCGCACGGGGGGCGGGGAGGCTACCATCATCTCCTGCTGCCTTCTTAGACACAAACCACAGAAAGACTGTCAAAATCTGCTTCCTTCGATGTAAGACAAAGCAAGGCAACATCTCATCATTCTTGCACACCTCAGGAAAAGGTGCACAGCTTATGAGACAGAAGAAAATCGTAGACCAAGTTGCACACACACACATCCCCTCGGTCAAATCTTGGTATGCGGTACACCACAAGGACAGGAAGGAAGTGCTGATGGGGTTCAAAGGAACAGGACAGAGTCTGAATTCAATGGCTTTTCGCATCCCAAATCCTTGCACATCTGTCCTATTCATTTGTGGTGCTCATCTCTCTGGAGAACCTAAATGGCAGCGAGAAAGGAGGGCCGAGTTCTCTTCCGGCTTACAAAGGCACGCAAGTTGGAAGCCAGTTCTAATTTCAGCCAGCGAATTCAGGACAAGAGGAGAGGAGTGCTTTGAAACAAGAAAAACAAGCTTGAATTCAGGAAAGCAAAAATATTTCTACAACAGCCAAGATTTTTTTTCCTTTTTTTTGGTCTCTGGCTTGGAATCTTCGCGCCTTCCTTGGTGCCATTGGTTGATGCTTCTTGGTTTCCAAGTGGAAGACCTTTTTGGTTTGTTTCTTATTTAAATCAGGGTATTAAAAGATTGTTTTGGAGGCTTTTGTCCCCCTTTTATAGGGATTCCCCCCCCCCCGGATTTGATTTCCGGCGTGTTCTTTTTAAAAAAAATCTAGGACCTCCTTTGTTCATCTTTCTGGCACTCCAGGGTCGCTACAAAGCTCCCCTCCACCACATTCCCAATAAATCTCATTTTTTTTGCCATTCCGTCTTCTTCTTCTTCTTTTTTTTAAATCTAGGACCTCCTTTGTTCGCCTTTCTGGCACTCCAGGGTCACTACAAAGCTCCCCTCCACCACATTTCCAATAAATCTAAATTTTTTTTGCCATCAGCTCTCTTAGCTGTCCAGCTTTCACACCCGTACATGGCGATCAGAAACACACAGGCCCAACAAGAAAGGGTTTTCACCTACGCTGGGCTGGTGAACACAATAGTGAGAAAGAAAGAAGATTGTGTAACAATGAGATCATTATGGTTTTAACTTGGAGGTCCGCGAGGTGAGAGAGCAAGCTACCACGGCCAAAGGAAGTGTCAGGGCCGCTGAGGAAATCCAAATGGCAGTGGACAGATAATGGCTTTGTATGAATTTAGAAGGAGGCGTGGAAGGGTGAGGAGAGATGATTGTAAAGGTTTTCCTGTGGAGGAAGTGGATTAATTCCATTCAGGAAAGTAAAATGAGACAGAGATGCCAAGAGCGAGATCTTAATTTGCCGTTTGGCCTGCCAATGCTGGATGGAGGGAAATACCTACACCAGTTGTAGTCGGAAAGTGGAGGGAGGGCTAATGAGTCCAGACGTGGGTAAGACGAGACCATGTGGAGGAGAAGAATTCCCTGTGTCTGTCGTAGACTAGTATGCCAGTTATGCTAAGTCACAACCAGCTTATCACGGTCCTCAAAGGGCTTTCAAGGTATCGCTTCGTGTTGTTTGTTTGCCTGGGCCTGTAAGGTTGGCACATACCATATTTTTCCATGTATAAGACTATACTTTTGTCTAAAGTCTTTAGATTAAAAATTGAGGGTTGTCTTATACACGGAAGTAAGCTGAGAAAGAAACAAAACCAGGCGGAAAGCAGGGATCAAAGCGATCCTGCAGCACTTTGATCCCTTTCCCCCTACACTTGCTAAGCCCCACTTAGATTTCTTAATTTGGGGTTAGAAAAGTGGGGGGGGGGCATCTTATACATGGGGATGTCTTACGTACGGAAAAATATGGTAGTTTTTGTCATGATAACTGGGGGGTTAATGGGATTTGGAATCCAAAAAGGAGCCTTCATTCTGTTCTTTCTATGGATTGAAGAAGGACCAGAGACTCTTCCTGCCGGCTGGGCGATCATGAAAGCTTTAATCTAGAAAGGTAATTTTCTTCCCCTCTGCTTTCAGTTGCCTCATTGACTTTAGAACCTCTTATATCTTGTGAAAAGGAAAAACTGCAGAACGGAGAGGGGTTTGGGGTTGCTTCTCATGGAAAACAGGCGGCGGCGGAGGCCCCAAAGCCAGCGGTCTGCGCTCTTTCGAGCTCCACGGAGATGTATTAAATGCCTTGTGAAAGACTGAGCCTTCCGCGCTCCTCCCTTCCTTCGTGTGGGACGGTGTCTGGCGGGCTCGTAACATCCTTCCGTGTTGTCAAATCGCACCTCGTAAATATGGGCTGCAGTTCTTTCCCCAAAGTGCTGCTTTCTATCTTCGTATGGTTGGACCCCTTCAAACCCACCCCACCCCTTCTGAGCCGTCGGTAAAGGCTTCAAACCTTCAAAGGGAAACCCCAGGACTTGGTTGATCGAAACATCCCTGGCCAGATGGAGAGGAAGACCGTTACACAATGTCGAATAATATTCATTTATTTTATTCTCGTATTCCTAACCTTCCCTGTATTGTTAGACCTCAGAGGAGGTCACGATCCGTAAATCGCCATTTTTTTGGTCATGTGTGCTCAAGTTGCCCTACACGCATGGTGACCCTGTGAATCTGTGATCTCCACAATCTCCTGTCCTCAACTCCCCTGCTCCAGCTCTTGCAAACTGCAAGCCTGTGGTTTCCTTTAAGGAGTCAATCCAACTCATATTTAAGTCTTCCTCTTTTCCTGCTGCCTTCCACCTTTCCCAGCATTATTGTCTTTTCCAGAGAATCCTGCCCAAGTTTCAACATTTTTTGCCTCCGGCGACAGTTTAGGCTTGCTTTGCTCTAGGACCCATTCGTTTGTCTTTCCAACCGTCCAAGGGAATCCGCAAAGCTCTCCTCCAGCACCACCTGTCAAATGAATCCATTCCCGCCCCCCATCCTCTTTCTTGACTGTCCAGCTTTCACACCCCTACATGGTGATCAGAAATACAAGAATGTGGATCTCCTGGGTCTTGGTCTCTGGGGAGTTCTTGACTGTCCAGCTTTCACACCCCTACGTCATGATCAGAAATACAAGAGTGTGGATCTCCTGGGTCTTGCGCTCTGGGAACACCACCTTACACCTTTAAAGACTCAAAAGTGATTGGAGTGAAACCAGAGCACACGGACCCTGTGATTCCTGGTGCCAGGCTTTGAAACCGCTGCTCATGCCTACTTTAAACCTTCCTCTTCCAATTCAGTTTACCTTGAAACCTGGGCAAAACATCGCAAGCCCTTGAGACTCTGGCCAGAGTCTGCAGACCTGACAGGACTGTTCCATTTGGTTTATATCTGACACTCCCCCAGTGGTACCCTTGCTCCTGATATATCTACCGGTGACACCTTCTGTCTTTGATCAAGATTTTTGTGGAGGGCGGTTAGGAGCATTAAGAGCTTGCAAAATTGGCCTCTAGTGTTTGATGCGGCTCCAGAGGGACCAAGGAAAATTATTGCCTGCTGCCTTTTGAAGATGGGATCTCCGCTCGAAGTCTGAAGGCACTTTTCAACACTGTCTCATGACACCGAGGGATATGGACCCTGCGGCGTGAATGTGTCCTTTGTCTAGATGAGCGCCTCTTGATGGGGGATGCTTCTAACGGGACGTCTGCCCATCGTGAAACAAAGCCGCGGGAAGAGTTCAAATGCTGCTCTTCTGAGCGCGGCCAACGGCCAAGGCAGGAATGGGGTTCAGATTAGGATCATGGTTGGCTTCAAGCCAACGGGAGGGAGGGGAGAGTGAGAGGATAGTCTGCAGAAAAGCTTAGGAAGTTCAGAGGAGGCAACAAGGAGGATCAGGGGACTGAAAATGAAGCCCTAGGAGGAAAGACTGAGAGAACTGGACCTGTTTAGCCTTGAGAAAAGAAGACGGAGGGGAGATAGGATAGTCCTCTTCAAATACTTCAAAGATTGTCATCCAGAGGAGGGGTAGGATCTGTTTTTGGTCATCCCAGGGTGCAGGACACACAAGAATGGGCTCCAGTTACAGGGAGCCAGATTTAGGCTGAATATCAGGAAAAACCTCTTTAACTGTTAGGCAGTATGACAATGGAACCAATTATCTCAAGCGCTCCAACGCTGGAGGCCTTCAAGAGGAAATTGGACAACCCTTTGTCAGGTTTGCTTTGTTTTGGATTCCTGCCCTGAGCAGGAGGTTGGACTCGATGACCTCATAGGGTCCCTTCCAGTCCAATTATTCTGTTGGTTAAATGTATAGGGCTACATCTTTTTGGTTGTCCAATCCAAAGAAGGTCCATTGCATCAGAATTGTTTACCAAATGATGAGTCCCTATTCTGAGAGCCAATGTGATGCAGTGGATAGAGTATCAACTTGGAACTCGGGAAGCGTGGGTTCGAATTCCGGCTCAGCCAAGTGCCGTGGTAAACTGCTCCTTGAATATCCGACGTACCTTGAAAACCCTATTAGGGTTGTCATAAGTCAGAAACAACGAAGACTGTGCTTTTTCTTTTCTTTGGATTTCAACTTCCAGAATTTCCGAGAATTCTGCAGGCAGAATTAAGGGAGTTTCAACCCACAAACACAGACCTGCAGATATCAACATTTTACTCACCAGGACCTGCCTTGCTTGGTGTTCTCTGACCTTTTTACCTCCTGTTGCTAAAGTAAGAAAAGGAGCTGCCACGGAGCTTCCTGGGAGTCATAGTTCTGTGGAAGTGGCCCTCTCCAAAAGCCTAATTGGCAGCAAAACTACAACTCCCAGAAAGCACTTGGCAGCTGTTAGTACTACATCAGGGGACTGAAAATGAAGCCCTAGGAGGAAAGAGTGAGAGAACTGGACCTTTTTAGCCTTGAGAAAAGAAGACTGAGGGGAGATAGGAGAGAACTTTTAAAAACTTGAAACCTGTTTAATGCATTCCAACGGGGAAAAATCGTTGTCGTTCTGCGAAGATCGCCCACAGGGAAGCCATTTTGCGAAGCGCTGATCAGCTGTTAAAATGGCTGCACTGTGAAGCATCGGTCCGGAAAACATCTGTTTTGCGAAGCACCAATCAGTAGCAAAATTGTCGTCTTGCAAAAATCGGTTTGAAAAGCAGGGACCCAAACATCATCCAGCGAAAATCGCCCATTGGAATCACTGTTTTGCGAATCACTATAGTGATAGCAAAACCTCATCATCATGCAGATTCGTCGTTTTGTGAGGTCGTCTAGCGAGGTACCACTGTACTTCACATTAACAATGGAATGCAGGTCCACGATGACCTCATAGGGTCCCTTCCAGTCCATTTATTCTGTTGGTTAAACGTATAGGGCTACACTGTACTTCACATTAACAATGGAATCCAGGTCCGGAGAAGGCCACACAACTTTGGAAGTGGGCTGTGTTTCAGGTGAGTGAAATGTAGGTGTCTATGAGTGTGTGTTTCTCAGCTGAATTTAGTGTAATAGTAATTCCAGTGGGTCTGTTCTGATTGGAACTAAAATGGGATTTAAATCATTGCTACCTCTTTTCTTGCTCATTTCCCACAAGTTGAGAGTGAGAATACTGGCCCATTTTTGCTCCAGCTTGTCTCTCCCAACATGCCATATTTTTTTCCAGGGCTCTCAAAGAGAAGCTGTTTTTCCCAGAGATGCAAAAACGGGGCTGGCTGTCACTGCACCATGAGCTTTCCTTAATTCTTCCTGAGAATTAAAACATAATGCACCTGAATTCATGAAAAAGAATAGCAGGAAACATTAAGTCATAGGGGTTGCTCCTTTTCCATTACCAGGGAATCGTGATAGATGATGTCATGATAAAAGGCCAAAGTATGTTTATATGTTTTTATAATACACTTGCTGAATGTACCCAGTGTGGAGTAATGGATAGATGGATAGCCTCTGGAGACCTGGGTTCAATTCCCTACTGGAACATGGAAACTCGCTGAGGAGGGGTGATGGTGGAACTAGTAAAACCCAGGATTGTGTCTGAGTCCCTATTAAAAGCAAGCTCCCCCCCCCCCTGAGAAAAGGGGAGACGTCGGAGAGTCCTGAGTTGTGAGTCAAGTCAACATGACTGGGAAGGAACCGATTTGAGTTGATTCATCCGCACGACTCAAGTTCCTATCCTTGCTAAAACCCAATCCTTAATTACCTCTCCTACTTTACCAGTTGGGCTAAGTGGTTCCCTACTGGGTGGATCACAACCCGCAGCGTGCCGAAGTGTACTAAAGGGAACATGAACAAAATGGAAAGGGGAAAGGGGAGAAGAGGAGGGAAAAGCCACGGCCAGCGTTTCTCCCAGAGGGAGTAGAGAGAGACGAAAGGGCAGTTGAGGCAACTCGCTGCTAAGACTTGTGTATAATATTCAGCGTTCATTAAAGGCTTTCCCACCCTTCTGCTAACCCCCTCTTTCTTGTGTTCCTGGTGGGTGTCCTGAGTCACTCCTTTGATCCAAATGAGGGCAGGCAGCTTCCCTACAGGATGCTGGCCAACCCGCGCCCCCCCTCTTACGCTCCGTGGTGGTTCTAGTCCATTTAGAAGAAGGAGGACACAACGTGTGGATAATCTCTCAAGCAAGGAGCGAGCCGTGTTTCCCCCTGCGTTTTCTTGGCCAACGGCAAGAACAAACAGCTGCAGCTTTGACTGAAGAGATGGCACTCGGCAGTCATCCTTTTATTGACTGATTGACCCTCTGTTTGTTACCTTTTTATCCTGCTGTTTCTTTCTGGTGAGATCAGCACCTTCCCATCTTCTCCATTGGATCAACGCCCAACAGGCTCTTCAAGGTAGATCATGCTTGAATCAAGGGCCAAGTGAGGCTTTGAACACAGGTCTCCCAAACTCTTGAAATACAGATGTTTTATACCTTGGTCAAATCATCCGTCCAAAGGGAGACTCCTGCCAAGAAATCGCAAGGTTGAGTGAGACTCAGAAGAGCAGCCATGAAGGAATTAGAAAAGATCATCAAGAGCAAGGGCCTGTCACCGGAGACCAAGATCAAGATTGTCCACACTTTTGTATTGCCAACCGCCTTGTATATGGGTGTGAAAGCTGGACAGTAAAGAAAGCTGGCGGGTAAAAAAGAGTTGATTTGTTTGAAATGTGGTGCCGGAGGAGAACTTTGCAGAATTTCCTGGCCTGCCAGAAAGATTAGCAAAGGGAGGTCCGAGATCAAATCAATCCTGGATTCTCTCTGGAGGCAAAAATGTGGAAACTGAGGCTGTCCTATTTGGGCCCATCCTGAGAAAAAAGGATTCTCCAGGAAAGACAAGAATGCCGGGAGGGGTGGATGGTCACGGGGAAAGAGGAAGACCATTCTCTGGAAAAGACAAGAATGCCGGGAAGGGTGGATGGCAGTGGGAAAAGAGGAAGACTCAACATGAGATGAATGGACTCCCGAAAGGAAGCCACAGGGTTGAGTTTGCAAGAGGTGAGCAAGACAGGAGCAAAGCAGACTGAAGTCAAGTGTTCCATTAGCATTTATATCCTTCCATTAAGAGCAGTGCTTTGAATAAAGACATGACGGAGGACTTTCCTGGCCCTTGCAATTAAGGAAGGAGCTGCTCTTAAAAGCCCAAGTTTCATTGCCAAGTTAAATCCTGGCGGCTCGCCAGAGGAGGTGATAATTAGAAAGATATTGAGTCGTCATATCCTTCCACCTTTTTAAAGCTTGTTTTCATTGCTAAAGCGTTTCAAAAGTGTTCCTTCCACCTTTTTAAAGCTTGTTTTCATTGTTAAAGCATTTAGCTGGCTGGATCGCTCAGGGGTTGAGATCTCTGGCTGCAGAGCGAGATGTTGCGAGTTCGATTCCTCGCTGAGCCTTTTGGGAGAAGAGCCTGCCTAGGTAGCCTTGGGCCAGCTGCACCGTCCCAGAAGCGAGTGGTGAACCACATGTATTCTATACCAAGAAAACTCTGCCAAAAGATCACCATAAGTCACAATTGGCTTGACGACAGGTCATTATTACTGTATTTAAAAGAGTTTTAACTCTTCAGAACGATTTACGTTGTTTCTTTTAATACAATCTTGTTGCCCGTACTCTCCCCTGATGTCTATGGATTTCAGATTAGTTAGAAATAGTTTAATCAATAATTAGTCATATAAGCAATTACTTTGTTTTGACTATTGTGTCACACACTTTTATCATTCTGCATGTATTTACTTCATTGATCTTATGTATTTGGACAGAAACTCTCTATTTATGTATTTAAAATATTTCAACCTGCTTTTCTCCTTAAAAAGGGCCCACATTGGTATACAAAAATTAAGAGACAATATTTAACATTTAGCAACAATGATGCAATACTAACAAGATCAATGAATGCAATAGCAAAACACAAAAGCAACACCAAAACTTACACATTCCAAGCAGTCGGGTACAACAAGCCCATTTAAAAATCTCATTCCGGCAGCTAGTCCTCAAGGGAAAAGCTTGCCTGAAGAGGTTTTGTCTTGCTTGTGGAAGGAAAGCAAGGATGGGGCCAGGATGGCCTCCAGTGGGAGGGAGTTCTGAGTTCTGGGAGCAGCCATAGAGAACCACGTCTCCCTTGGTTCTTTGTCCTCCACCCACCCCAAAAAGAGATATTTCTTTACTTCTGCTCAAAGGGGGTTTCCTGGACATGTCGGTCCCTCTTTGTGTCTCAGTTCCATTTCAGCTATGGGCTTAGCTGCTCTCACAGCCTGTCTCTAGCTACCATCACAGATTTCTTGCGTTTTCCTTCATGTTAACATTCTGTTTTTCCCCCAATCCTGATTCTAGCTGTCTGCAGTTATGGGGTGTGCTTCAACGGAGGCAAGTGTGCTGAAGGCTCCTCGCTCCAGATCTGCCACTGCCCTTCCGGTTTCCAAGGCCCGTGCTGCCAGTATGGTAGGTAACGGCTTTCTGCAAACTTTTGCGCCCATTTCACAGACAGGAAGGTTGGGGGTCAAAAGTCCTCCTTCCCTGTTTATACAAGTGATCCTAATCTTGTTGGTGATCCAGATGTGCAAGACATATTGGACTTTTTTGGCTGCCTTTCATAGGTTTGGCTTGGAGAGGGACATTTCTAGGCTGGGATGACTGTCAATCTGTCTGGCATTGGCCAATCATTCCTTCCCTGCCTCTGAATTCAAAGAGAACCCCGCCTTTCTGCTCAGTGTCTCTTTCCCCCTCTGTTGTTTGTTGGAAGCCCAGTAGTCTGTCAAAGTCTGTTGTTGAAGGCAGTCATGTTTGTCCATTTGCTGATTGATCTGTTCAATTGAAAGTAATGAAAGATTTTACTCTTTCTCTTACCAATGTCTCAGAGTGAGTTGTGGAGACTGTAAGTGTCAGTTAATGAGAACAAGGGGTGGACTACTCTGGGGAAACCTGCTCTGTGAATCCCTGCACTTCTGCTGCAGAGCTAACGCAAATGAATCTAGAATTCAAAACTCTGCAACAAAAACAAGATGTGCTCTTCTGGTTTTTTAGCCAAGTTGTGGGGTGAATGAATGTGAGTATTCATGTGAGAGCCACTGTGTGAGTCAACCCTAGTTTACCAGCCCTCTTCTATGTACATGGAAGAGGGCTGGTAAACTAGCGAACTTTTTGGTTATGGAGATGAAACAATATGAAATGAGATACAGAGAAATAGTGGTGGCATTATTAAGACTGGTGGTAAACTTTCAGAGGGCTGTGTAAATATCCTGGCAACAGTATGGTCAGTTACACGAGTCAGTTATCCTCTGGAGGTGTTACACCAATGGTGTGCATAATTCTGCGTGCCTTCTTAGAAGGGAATTTCATTGCTTCGGTATGTAGGGCTTGTTTCCAGTCCAGTTAGCCCACTGTTGTCCAAACTGGTGGTGCTTCTTCAGTTAGCCCACTGTTGTCCAAACTGGTGGTACTTTTTCAGGGTCTCAAGGAACAAGTCTGTCTCAATCCTGCTGAGGAACTTGACCTTCCATACACGATGCAGGCTCGACTCTATTCCCTCTTGTTTGCTGGAAAATACGTAACTCTGCCTTTAGCTCATGTGAGCAGAAACGAGGCCTAAGGAATCCAGGATGATTCCCAAAACCCGCTACAGCAACTTGGGCAGTTGAGCTGATACTTAAAGGCTTCCACAGAGAGAGAGAGAGAGAGAGAGAGAATGCTCAAACATGCTATAGATGTTCTGCATCTGTACGCAGACATCTATTGTAATGGTTGGCTTTGAGACCGATGGAGCTGTTCTGCTTTCTGGAGGAGATGCTAAATCTTCTATGCATTGGCCGAGAGAGCGAAAAAAAAAATGATTGTGGAAGGAGCCCAAGAGCACAATGTGTTTCTGGCCGCTGCTCTTAAGAGGGTCTCCCAACGATCTGCTGAAAGCATGCGGACAGAAATAGCCGATTTCCCCCAAGCTGCTCCGATGCAAATTGCATCAGTCCAGGTGTGGAAGGATCCTTTCCCAATGACTTTATATCCTCTGCACCACGATGTGTTTGCGGTGGCTCTTAAGCTGACTCTCGCCCTGAGATCTCGCTGGGCGGAGGAGAAAAGGCAGGGAGAAAAAGCCGTTCCCTTTGCCTTTAGGTGAAGAGGGAGAGGTTACGAAAATCCCTCTAGCTTGGCTTGCTTACGGCCTTCCTGATGATCAAACTCACCTCTTTTTGGGTTTCAGTGAAGGAACAATGCCATCCGGACGATGCACAATGTGACGGGGCTTATGGAGAACATGATCAAAACCATTATCTCCGATTCTTATTCTTCCTCCTCATTTCTTGGCAGTGCTGTTGCAGGTTAAAGGATCAAATCTAAAGAGGATAGCTAGCTCAGTGGTTTCGGTCTCTGGCTGTGGAGCCAGAAGTTGGGAGTTCGATTCCCCACTTATGCCTCCTTGAGAGGGGCTGGACTCGATGATCCATAGGGACCCATCCAGCTCCACAGTTCCAAGATGATGATGATGATTGGGAATCAAGTCCTAAAATTTTGTGGCTGAGCCGAGCATATTGGCGAAATCTCTGATTTTTGAAATTCAAGAAGCAAAACCGCAGCTGTGGGTTTTAACACAGGTAGCCAAAATTTTTGGAATTGCTGTAGTTGCTGAGAATTATTATTACTATTTTTGTGGTGGCTGATACTTCATTTTTTTTTTGTCCTGTCTTTCTGCCTCGCTTGCAGCATGAATTTGAAACAACAGATACACCGGAGGGGGGGGGGGCTGAAATCAAATATAGGATGATAAAAAGTTTCAGGAGTTGGAAAAGATGTGGTCCCTGGACGCGATGCCCAATAGAGGATGAAGAAAAGTTTCAGGTGTTGGAAAGGGTGTGGTCCCTGGACGGGATCCAGTCTGGAGCTTAAATCCTCTTGCTGATCCCAACTAAAACCCATTGGATTAATTGCTGAACACGTGCCAACACTTGTTCATAAGTTAGGCAAATGACAAACACATCAGAATATGAGAAAGCAAGAGACAGAGGGAAGTAAGGATAAAAATGTAAGAATAAAAAAAACTTCTGGTTTAAAGCCCACGGATTCAATGGGTCTATTCTAATTGTAACTAGCAACCAATTTAGGGACAGGCATACAGGTGGGTTGTCCATGATCCATTCCCCCATTCTGTGATGTTGTGTGCATTCTAGATCCAGAATGGCACCTCTCCTCCTGCATTTCCCAGATCAAAATGCAGTGGATATGAATGTGCCTGGAATTAGGTCTCTTGTGTTGTCATCTGGGCATTGTGACTGCAAGATTCAGGATCCTCGTCACATTGAATTGCAACATGGGTTTCCCCCATCTTCCCCAAAGTGTTTTGGGGGAAAGACACCCTGCCAGTTTCAGTTCAAAAGCGAGGAGGGGATGAAAAGTTTTCCTGGCTTCCACTTGAGTCAGTTTTGGCTTCTTTGCTCCACTCCTCTTGATCCATGAATGCCACGCTCTCTTTTGCTCTGCCCGGACCCTAGGAATAAATGCATCTGGCGTGCAGGGGTCTGTGCACGAAAAAAGCCTTGATTGTCCAACTTCCTTGGCCTCCTGTGGTTCTCAACTAAAGTTTTGCAGAGGAAGGAGGGGAAAAGTGAATTGCTGATGTTTCAGTGCTTGACCTTTTCAGACTTCAAAACTTTTTCCCAAGTAAAGGATCATCGGGTGCTCTGTACCTGTATGGCTTTTCTCTCCCCCTTTAAAATAAGGCAAACATTTTTTTGTCCTCTTTTCCAGGCTCAGTAAATTAAAACCATTCCCAGGAAGAGCAATAAAGATATTATTAAAGAGGAAAATATGTCTCTGCATATCAAGGAGAGATGCTCTGTTAGATAAGTTGAAAATAAGTCCAGAAAAGTTACGAGCTCACTGCATAGTTTGCTATTATTGTTGCTGGCCAGAATCCTATTGCTTCTAAAATCCTATTAATAACAGAGGGATATAAGATTGCTTATATACCTGTCAGCGTAACACAGCTGGTGTAAATCAAGATGGCAGATTGTTAAGAAATTAGTTGCGTGACTGGGGGCAAAACAGCAAATGCCTACCCAAACTTTTTAACTTGCTACCATTCTTGTATAAAATTTATGCCGATCATGTTATGCTAGTGTAAAAACTCAATAAGATTTGGGCCTTTATTCTTACTTATTCATAAAGATGGGCATAAACATACTGGTTCAGTGGAGCCTGGTTATCAATCTATCGATCATCATTTATATCCCACCTTCTTCCTGGTGAAAAGGCTCAAGGCGGCTCACAATATTAAAACAAGTAATGCTGAAAGCATAAGAAATAACAGACTAAAAAGCAATTTGTTGTTGTTTAGTCGTTTAGTCGTGTCTGACTCTTCATGACCCCAATGGACCAAAGCATGCCAGGCCCTCCTGCCTCCCAGAGTTTGGTCAAATTCATGTTGGTCACTTCAATTGCACTGTCCAACCATCTCGTCCAATTAAGCAATTAAATGGTGGCCATAACTAAAAATCCGTTAAGATACAAAAAACAGGCAAGACTTTAAAAGCAAATCTGCTTGGCTTAAAACCAGCATCCAGGGACTCGGTCATGGTTATCACAGGCTGGTCTGAAGAGGCAGATCTTCAGCAGTCAATGGAAGGGTAAAAATGGAGGGGCAACCTAATCTCCTAAGGGAGAGAATTCTACATCGGGGGAGCTACCACTGAGAAGGCCCTGTCTTGTGTCCCAGTCAAACATTCCTATGATGTCAATGAGACCAAGAGTGCAGTTAGACCAGGGGAAAAAACTTATGTTTGAATTAGCATGTTTTAAGTCAATTTTTTAAAAGGTGACTACAGGATGCATGTGAAGCCCTGATACTTTTTTTTGCCTGGGAAACATGTTTTTTTTAAAGTTTAGCATGTTTTAAATCAGTTTTTTAAAGAGTGACTACAGAATGCATGTGAAGCCCTAATTTTTTGGGGGGGGGCAGGGAAACATGATTTTTAAATTGGAAAACATGATGTCAATGAGACCAAGAGTGCAGTTAGACCAGGGGAAAAAACTTATGTTTGAATTAGCATGTTTTAAGTCAATTTTTTAAAAGGTGACTACAGGATGCATGTGAAGCCCTGATACTTTTTTTTGCCTGGGAAACATGTTTTTTTTAAATTGGAAAATGAGGGATTTTACTAAGCTGCAAGAGGGTCATTTATTTTGAATTGCTTTCCAAATCAATTTATTTTTGGTCATTTTGCCATATGAGAATGTCTCTTTTGTTGTAAATTGTGTCTGTGGGGTTTGCCACTCACTGGTGTGCCTTCCATGCTCCTCCTCCACCCTACATCTCCCTCCTTTACAAACCTAGTCAATATCTCTGGTCAGTTTCAGCCAGCCCCCCATCTGATAAGCAGCACTAGCTAACACAGTACATTTATTTGGGCACACCATGGGGTGTTGTGCTTCTGCATACCCCTAATTTAAAT